TTCTTTCTTTCTTTCTTTCTTTCTTTCTTTCTTTCTTTCTTTCTTTCATTTTTAAAATATACTAATGGAAGAAAAGGGTTTTCTTCAGAGGTTTTATCCCTCCCTCTCTTCCTCCCTCCCTTCCTCCTTCCCTCCCTTCCTTCCTTCTTTCCTTCCTTCCTTCCTTTTTTCCTTTCTTTCTTTGTTTCTGTTTTTTTTTTTGAATAGAGATGAGGTCTCACTATGTTGCCCAGGCTGGTCTTAATCTCCTGGGCTCAAGTGATCCTTCCTTCTCAGCTTCCCAAAATGTTGGGATTACAGGTGTGAGCCACCATGCCCAGCCTCTTCAGGGATTTTAAAAGGCATTTGTTACATGTAATTCTGTATTTCATAATTTTGCAATGTGAAAATTACTGGTCTTAGGAAAATATGGACGTTGATTAGTGCATTCAGTTCTTTTCTGGAAAATAATAGTAAAAGTGTTTGACGTCATCATGGGTATGTTAGGCAACTGGTAGATACAGAACATTATTTATTTGAGGATTTTGTTTTACTTTTACTCCAATTATTGCTATATCATCAGTTTTTCAAGTTCTTGCTATAGTTGTGGACAAGCAGAAAAAATTAAGAAAAATTAGGTAGCAAATTAGTGTGATAATTCTAATAAATCTTAATGAGGCAACAAATTTGGGAACAATATGTGTATCAATAACAGCTTAGGAAAATTCCAAGAACAATATCAAAAGATGAGGTCAAAGACATTTTCCCCAGACTGTAACTCTTCTCTCTCATGTAGAGGCATGCTGACTTTAAGACTTTGCCTTTGAACTCATATATGATTTGATTAAATTAGAAAGTTTAAAAGATATGAAAACAGATTTTTTAATTGCATCATTTTTAGGCATATGGAATATGACAGTGGTGATATTTAGCAGATGAATATCAGCTTTTATTCTCTTAACTCGAATTACTCAATGAATGAAATATTTAAGATTTAAGTAAAGTTTTTATTTTTACAAGTTTCTTTCACTGTCTTATTGGAATTTGACTTTATAGTATTAGGTTTTAAAAATGTGCTTTGTGCAGCACTGCCAATGACTGGGGATTATGGTGAGATAAGCTTTAATGACCTTATAGAATTTTAAATAATGGCTGTAAAAATTAGTTTCCTTCGGCCTTTGATGTCATTGGTATTTTTAAAATATGACATATAAAGACGACTCTAAAGTGTTTTTCTTTTACTTTTAAAGAATGTAATTAAGAATAAAATGCATGAAAAATATAGTTATATCAAGGAATACATAAATCTGGAGAATCAAAGCATTGTTAGAAATATATTGCTTGAAGATTAACCTTAAAATTTTCATAAGTTTGAGGCTAATCATGCGTAAGTACTATGTGACTTGAGAAAAATAATAGTCTTTAAAGTATTTTACAGTTTTTACTTATAGTTTTATATGCTACTGGATAAATCAAAGATACTAATGGTCTAAAACTATTTTACCATGTGGGACATTTCACCAGAATGTGGAATATATGGATGAATGGAATTTTGAACATTGCCCTAAATTTACATATAATTAATATTTAACTTAGAATGAAGACTAAGTTAGTATGAAAATGCAAATATTCTACTTACTAGGTGCAAGTAGCAATCCCCTATCCAATTATGACAACCAAAAATGTCTCTAGGTATTGCCAAATGTCCTCTGGGAGGCAAAATTGTGCTGGTAGAAAACCACTGATTCGAATAGTATTGGCGCTGTTGTGTACTTTATATATTTGGCAAATGGTGAAGAGCTTCCAAAGTACTTTCATATAGCTTTTCTAATATGATCTTTAATGCAACTCTGTAAGTTTGGCAATGCCAGAATTCAACTTTAAAATAATTATGGAGTAATGTGGACTTACACTAAAGGCTTTTTTTTGAGGGCAAGTGTGTTCTGCTACATAGTGTCTTAGTCCATTTTGTGCTACCTGAGACTAGATAATTTATAAAGAGCAGTTTATTTCTCACAATTCTGGCGGCTGGGAAATCCAAGATTGAGGAGCCAGCCAGCATCTGGCAAGAGCCTTCTTGCTGCTCTTGTCCCATGGTGAAAGACAAGAGGGTCAGGGAGAGAGTGAGTGAGCAAGTGAGCAGGCTCAAGAGGGAACTGAACTCATCCTTCTCTTAGAAGCCCACTTCCATAGTAACTGCATTAACCCATTCATGAGAACAGTGCCCCCATGACCCAAACACCTCTCGTTAGGCCCCACCCCACACATTGTGAACTGGGGGTCTAGTTTCCAGCACATGAACTTTGGAGGACACATTCAAACCATAGCACTGGTTAGACTTTCTGAAAATGCCCTTAAATGTCTTCCCTTGATGTTTCAGTTCTTAAGTCCATGACCACATCTCTGCTTCTCCCCTTTCCCCTTCTCATAAATGGACAGACTCCTTGTACATCTCTTGGTCTTTTTCCATATTCCATTGCTTTCTAGCTACTTCTTCTCCTCACCCCTCCTGGATCTTTTCCTCCAGGTGCCTCTCTCATATTTTTCATATGTAGTTTATTCTTTTCCCAGGTTGTTTTTTGCTTTGGCTGGGGGAGGGGGAGTATATGGCCTTGAGATTTTTAGTCTGTGTTTCAGTTTATTTTAACAGAGATAATACCAATATCTACCTCATGGGACTGTTGGGAGGCTACACTGAGCTAATATATATGTAAAATATTCACCATGATACCTAGAACCTAGCGAGCACACAGTAAAGGTTAGTTGCTGCTGCTGCTGTTTAAATATGGTTTTTTAATTATCATCACTGCACTGTGGTGAGACAGTGGTGTAGAAGAGATAGATGTTGACCTCAAGAAGTTTATAATTTCATTTTGTCTACATAGAGTAAACTGTGACTCTCTGAGATTTTTGTATACCATCATGTTTGGAACGTTTTATTTATTAGGCTATGAATATTCTTTTATTGGGTGTCACACAAATGACATCTTGTGTTGGAAAATGTTAGGTGTTATTGTGTAACTTCTACTAAGAAAACACCATTTCCTCTGTTGGTCTCTTGCAGATTATAAGGAACAGAGAAATGCTGAGGTTATTTTGGGTGATATGCATTTATTGTAAAGTACATGATGCTAAAGAAAAAGTTATTCATGACACTTGTTAAAGATGGTATGGCAGACCGTATTCCAGAGGGGCCATGGTGACCAGTACAGGGATCACTGCAATGGGGTCTCTCATTTGGGGAGAAAAATTGGACTCAACTCCAACAAGGACAAATGGGGATTTATAACCAAGGAGCAGAATGGAGGTCAGTGAATGGAAAATTACTGAGAGAAAGGATGAGGGGTTTCTGGCTAAACAGACCGGATAGGATTATTGCTGAAGGGAGGCCGTGGTGATAAGATAGCTCAGATATGGAGGGTGGTTAGACACCCAGGGTGGGGGATTTCTTTAAACTGACTTAGCAGCATTCTTGCTCAAACCAGATTCTATGAGGACAGAGAGAGAAGCTCATGGTTAGGCCTAGTCAAGCAGAAGACTCAGAGGGGCCTGACTAGAGTTTTGGTCAAAGGAGAGAGTCTCTGTCAATGGGAAGTGAGATCCAAGGACAGCATCTCATGATTTGCACAATCACATTCCGCAGATAATGGGAACATTGTTCAGGATAAAACAACTACTTTGGTATCAGAACAGTTTGCTATTCTCATGAATCAGTTTTTTCTTATCTCTGCTTTTTTATGGATTCTGCGTTGACTGTCAGCCCCCACTCTTTCCTTTTTTTCTCTCACTAATTCTGCTGCCTCAGGGCTTCTGTCTTCTGTTCCCTTAGGGTTTCTCTGTGCTTTCTTTTCTCTGTTGTTTCTTTTTCTGGGTTTGCTATTTTGCATTCAAACTACTTACCAATGTACTCACATTTAGAAGTTGACTAGAATTGTATCTAACTGGAAGTGGAGGAGGGAAGATGCATCATTCCTCTCCCTGTTTCAGAGGAGCAGGTGCTGAGAGAGGAAGGGAGATGATGGACCAGGTCTGTGGGGATTTCTGGATGCAGATTCTGTTCTTCTAACCTGTGCATTTGGACTTCTTTACAACTCTTCATGGTAATGACCCTCCTTACAGGTCTGGAAAAATGACAGTAGTCATTTCTACTGAAATTATTGCTCTCATAAAATATCTTAAAGGCCATGAGGAATGGGTTCACAGACACATTCACTTGGAGACAAATAATTATTGCTTCCAACAGAAATGGAATGTTGTCTGCTGGCTTGACCTTTCTGTGGCAAGAATAAAGCCTTATTCTTAGGAAAGATCATAGTTATTGAGTCATATTGGGTGTTCCAAGGACACATTTCTGAAAAGATGCAGAGCCATTGAGAGGTTTTTCCAGTCAGATAGCAATCTGATCTTCATAATAAAGGTGTTGGGTTCAGTACTCTTAAGATAGACAATCATCATGCTTTAAATCTTACACATCCTTTTAAGCTGTCCAAGTCAACTATCTGTTTGAGAACAAGCAGACAGTTAAGCATTCATTTGGTTGAAGAATCTTAGTGTTGTTCTAATTTTGGTTGTTGCTTATTTTTCTTCTTGATTTTACATTTTACCATAAAGAGATTTTGCTTACCTAATCACTGGAATTTTTTTATATGTGTGTATGTGTTATTAGATTATAAAAGGAATTAAGATCGTGCAAAATGCAATAATACAACAAGATGAGCGACTGGCCAAAGCAATGGTCAGCGATGGTTCCTTTCATATTACCCTGCTGGTGATGCAATTATTAAATGAAGATGAAGTAAACATGTGAGTAATATATTTTTCTTAAATATAATTTTCCAAATTATTACTTTAATATGAGTAAGCACAGCAGAACCCAAAGAGACATTCTAAATTTAAAGAAGTAGTCTCTATACAATTTATTCCAGTTAATAGTTAATATACAGAATAAACTATATAAATATTCTTTTTAATCTAAACTTTTAAACTCTGTTATGGTTATCAAGTGGTAGCCCTTGGTTATGTAATCGTTTTGTCCATGCTCATATTATCAGCACTCTGGACTTGACCATTTAGGTTAAAACTTTAGATACATATTCTGGAATCATGGCACAACCACCTCTTATTATCTGCCTTGCTTTGGGCAAATCATGTACTTTCTAAGTAAATGGAGAAAATAATAGTACCAATACATGCAAGAGCTCTTTGCCTAGGGCCTGGCACATAGTAGGCACTCTATTATTAGCTATGAGAGCTGCCATTTTACTAGGCCACTGGACAATTTCAGTTTCACCTTAGTCATTTTAGAGTCACTGTACTCTACCTACAGCCACCGCCCCCATGCCAGGGTTCTGCCATAAAGGTTAAAGACAAGTCATTGATTACTGCTTTCCAATCTGAAAGAAACCTTGTTCTTCCCCCAATTTTCTGGGACACTCTTATCTGTACTTAGATTTTCCTTTCCTCTGTTACCTCCTATATAGCTCACTGTGTTAAGTTCAAGCCTAAGATCTATGGAAAACCAAAGCCAGGATGAATTGCAGGTTGCTTTTGTTATCTACTTTAACAGCTATATCTCCTGAGGGAATGAGGAGCAAGGCTTGAATTAGGAAGGGGTTGAGGAAAAGGTAAAATAAAAAAGGATAAGATGAAACAAATAAATAACTCAAAATATCCAACCCATTATGATTATTGTAGTTATGTCTTTTAAAGAGTAGAACCTCAGGTCTTTAGAGGTCAATCTTATGATCTGTCCCGAGCCGATGTACTCAAAGTAGCCTTGAGCATCCTGCGAGGACAGAGAGGAGGGGAGATTTTACTTGCCTGACTTTGATCACTTTGCCAATCAGAAGAAAAAAGCAGTTCTCTGGTGCTCTTGAAAGAAGAGAATCCAAAGAAGATGCTATGCAAAATGAAAGGTTGAGAGAAGGGAGTCATGCTCTGTGTGTGTTAGAATGGTCAGGATTCTCCAGAGAAACAGCACCAATAGGAGAGTATCTATGTAGAGATCTATCTATATCTGTCTGTGCAGACATGTATATCTTTATGTAGAGAGATTTATTTTAAAGAATTGTCTCCCATGATTGAGGGAGAAGTCTGGAATCTGCATGGCAGTCTGGAAGGGGAGTTGATATCTCAAGACCTTAGTCAGTCTGGGGACAGAATTCCTTCTTGGGGGACTCCAGTCTTTTCTATTAAGGCCCTTTAGCTGATTGGATTGGGTCCACACCCATTCTGGAGGGGCAGAGGTATCAACTTTTAAGTGATGGTGAGGTTCAAGGTGTGACCTCACTTTGGGGCAGCTAGAATGGAATTGATGAGGTTTCTGGGAAGACATTGTTTATGTGAATGATTTATTAAAAGTCTCTAATTTTTAACTTTTTATCCTATACTGTGTAATATGTTAGACATCTAGATTGTCCATTTCTTGTCCTGTATTGATTCCTAATTTTCAAAGTCTAATATCAAGTTTTAGTTGTTTAATAGTATACCGATCGATGGATTGGATATGGAATGTGCAGATACTTTAAAAAAAATCATTAATTTCTTGAGGTAGATGTCACCTAAACTCCTTTGTGTCCTTATAGTGTAGAAGAAAGGAATAAAAATATATTAGGCCAAGCCCGGCTGCTGATTTGAAAAGATAGGTGTCCTGTCTTAGTTTGAAATACAACCTTTGGGTCTGAACTCCAGTTTGAGAATTTCGTTTCTTATATACATTTACTTTTTACTTACTTTACCTTAAAGAAGCCTTTTTGTAAGCCCCTCTTGAAAACATATTCTATTTAAAATAATTCAAAAATTAGTGATACTCCCAGTAGACACTGATTCCTTCTTACTCTGTGAATCAGTGGCATCTTATTGGCACATATTTACTGATTTATACTACTAGAGAACTGGAAAAATGGACTGAATTTAGATAACCTATATTTCTTTAAAGAATAACAACATAGAATTCACTGTCTCTGAGAAGTCTTAACCTTTCTCATGGTGTGCTTTAACATATAGTTTCATTTAAAACAAGTATTTTGAATTCCCCCAACTTATAAATGAGCCAGGAGTAGTTGTTCTGTTATCACATGCTTTAATTCATAGCACACAGTGAAGGAAAATACTGACTTAAAAGTATGTGCACTGTTTGGATGAACATAACTACAGTTAGGTAATGGTGAATTTAAACTGGATTTGGAGGTACAATGAGAAATGTACCATACTTATAGTTATATAATGTTTCAGAGAAATTAGACTGAGTATTGAAGTCATAGATGAAAATCAGTTAAAAACTTTATCTGAAGACTAATTTAGAAATATGAAAGATCAAGAAAAATGCTGATTTTTTCAAACACTTGGCTGAACAAATCACTGATCAAAATAATTTAAATGAATGGCAATCCACTGGAAGGGTGTTTTAAAGCCCTGGATGAATGTGCTTAGTTCTTTTTTAAGTAATTGCTGCCCTCTAATGAGATTTCATTTTTTTCTCAAAGTACCTATACCAAAATCTCTTCAAGATAGAAGTAATTCTAATTTTCCAAATATCAAAAATTTTGTAATGTCCAATTCAGTAATATAGCAGACATTTGTTTTTATTAAGAAAAGTGTGGCTGGACGCAGTGGCTCACACCTGTAATCCCAGCAATATGGGAGGCCAAGGCAGGAGCATCACTTGAGCCCAGGAGTTTGAGACCAGCTTTCGCAGCACAGGGGAACCTCTCTATAAATAATTAAAAAAAAATAGCCAGGCATGTTGGCATACACCTGTGTATTCCAGCTACTCAGGAGGCTGAGGCAGGAGGATCACCTAAGCCCAGGAGGTCAAGACTTCAGTCAGCTGTGATCCCACCACTGCACTCCAGCCTGGGTGACAGACAGAGAACCTGTCTGAAAAAAAGAAGAGAGAAAGAGACAGAAAGAGAGAGAGAGAAAGAGAGACAGAGAAAAAAATGAAGAAGAAGAAGAAGAAGAAAGAATAAGAGAGAAGAAGAAAAGATACAGCACTTCCAACACAGAGCGGCCGTATAATTGCATAGGCTAAATAGCTAAAGTATATATGGCAAACTTACAGTTACAATTGGGGAATATAATTCAAGTTGTATTTTATTTGAGTCTAAGTATAGCAAATTATCTAATTATGGAGACTGTTGTATTTTAAGAGATAGTGTGTTTTAACTTTTATTAGAGTGCCTCACAAATAGTATGTACTGTAAAAGTGTTAGTACTTTCATCAAGAATCTAGAACTTGACATCTAATGTAAGGTAATGTAATCTAATGTAATCTCTTGTAGGTACTCGGTTTTTTGGGATATATTTTCAGTAATTTTTTGAGTTGTTCATATTTCACTTGGTTAAACATTTTTTTAGTAAACTGTAAAATAGTGTCTACTTTCATGTCTTTAATAGCAATTATAATTAGGTAAAGATTTCTTTACTTCTTCCATAGTTTTTGTTTAAAACTGTCTATCAGTTTTAATCATAAAGTTTAGATTTAGAAGGTATTTTGAGCCTTAAAATAATTAGTACAAATATCAAAATGAATTCATCTTTCTAAAACTGGTACTTTGTTTCTTATTTGGTTTTGTATATTTTATTACTTAATGTGTTACTGAAAAATGTATTATTTCTTACTAGTGGTATTGATGCTCTTTTGGAATTGAAACCATTCATAGAAGAACTCCTCCAAGGAAAACATTTGACTTTGCCCTTTCAAGGGATTGGCACTTTTGGAAATCAGGTTGGATTTGTGAAGCTGGCAGAAGGGGATCATATAAACTCACTTTTGGAGATAGCAGGTAAAACAGCAACACACTCATATGAAATCTTGTCTGTTGGAGAAGCAATATTTTTCAATTTTGTAATAGAGACTTGACATTTTTTAATTTTGAAAGATGATGGACTAGACTCAAGTATTTTTTAGGACTGTCCCAATCATAAGTCTGAAGGATTTCAGTGCTTATCATAACATTTGGCATACAATAGCTGGCACTTGGTAAGTACTGAATCAATGAATAGGAGTCACTGGTTGCCTATTCAAAGGCTTGTAGGAGTTGTCATTCCCATTCCAGAGAGCCAGCTGGTGAATCAGCAAGGTTTCCATTTATGCCGCTCCCCTCCACCCACTCCCCTGGAGGGACTACTCTCTGAGCAGAAGGCCCATTGGTGTTAGTAGAAGACCTCACATGTGTTGGAGAACATATTGCTTTGTGCAGCACAATTGAAAGTGTCAGGGAATTGGAAGCAGAAAAAATCATAACCTGGTTGAGTGACTTCAGTTTGATCCAGAGATAGTAGGTTGGGTATTAGCCTACATGCTGTGAGAAATTTTTATTTTCACATCATTTCATGTCATGTCATCTAATTGCAGGTTCAGTAATCCGTAGTTCATAACACGCTTGCATCATTGGTCCATGCTCTGTGTTTTTTTTCTTTCTATCTATTATTCCTTCTACTGTTTTCTTTCTCTGCCCCCTCTTCCCTCTCTTCTTGCCTCCGTCCCTCCTTCTCTTTATGTATCTACCCTTCTCTCTCTCTCTCTCTCTTAAAAAGCAGTGTAATAATAACCTGAGAATCTACCACCCCAAACAGAAGCTAGTACTTTGGTAGTAATCTAACCATATTGTCCTTTCAGTAATGCATCCTTTGGCCTTCCTCCAATTAAGTTCACTATCATCCTGAAGTCAGTGTTTACTTCCTTTTATTTTCCCAAAGTATTTGCATTTTAATTTTAGTTAGTTTTAACTTAATACAAAGGGCATCTTGTTGTATGTGATCTATTGGGAAATCCTTTTCGCTTAATATTACATTGCCTCTTTGCTGTTTAATAATTGCCTATTTTAAAGTGTACGTTTGGCAGGGAGTGAGGATCAGGTTTCATTGCTGGTTTTTCTTTTGTGTTCTTAAGATATTTGTGATAAATATTTTTGTGACTGTCAATGTTTATATAGGGCTGGATTATCATTCAGATTAATTGTTAGAATGACATTTAGTGTAGTGTCAGTTGTGCTGTCTGGCACATGGTTGAAGTTCACTGAGTTCATTATCCATTCAGATGTATCAGAAGTAGAGCTATTTAGTTATCTTTTTAGTAGAAGATTTCTGTTATATATTTGAAATACATTTTACATAACAGCATTTCAATTGGGTTGCAAATGTGAAATTCACTATTGTTATTAGTGACACAGCCACATTCGTTTTAGCTAAGGTTTTTATAAATTTATTACCTCTAAATTTCATTTCTTCTACATAATGTTAGGCCCAAGGAATTATACTTTAGTAGGAATAATTCATTCCTTTAGCATGCAGTTAGCCGGTGCCAGCTAGATACTTGGGATAGAAAACTGAAAAAATAAAAAAAATTAAAAAAAAGATCCTTTTTGTCTAAGGAGCTTATAGCCTTGTGCAGAAACAAACAGGCAAGCAATTGCAGTGCAATATAGTAATAATCATAATTTTTGTAATGGGAGGCAGAGGCACAGAGTATAGTGGGCACACAGGAGAAGGGGGCTGGATTGAGGAAGATTTCATAGGAGAAATAGCATTTGAGTTAACATTTGAAGTGTAAATACAGGTTTTCTGGTTGAACAAATGGGAGGAGTGTATTCTGGGTAGAGGGAACAGCATATGCAAATAAATCAAGTTCTATTTAGGGACCTACAAGTAGTTTAGTGTTACTGAAGTATAAATTGCAAATCTATAGATATCATCAAATGAGATTCATATGCTAAAGGGAGCAGTGAAGGTAAAATAAGGGCATGAGGAGAGTGGTGAAAGTTTAGAATAGTGACCAAGGGAAATGGAAGGGGAAAGTTTAATAAGCAGCATGTAATGGGTTGCAGAGCAGTGCAGAAGGTGCATTTGGGATGAGTGCAAAAATTTGTAATGGTACTAATTTGTGATCTTCTCAAGTACTATTCTAGGATTTAGCTATGGGAATGGAGAGGGGAAACTGAATTAATCCATACTTGAGCACTTGTATGGTAGGTGTGGTAAAAAGACAAAGGAACAAGACTGTCAAGAGAGTGGCAGAATGTTTGATGTGATCATTATTGGACGTACATTAGAGAAGGCAGTAAAGTCTGGATGGGACTAATATTTGGAAGGAGAATAGAGTAATAGGACTGAAGAAGAGAGTTAATAGAAGTTCAAGAGTGAGAAAGGAAAATCAGGAGGTGTGATCAGAGAGCAGTATATTGGATTTTATGAATTGAGGAGCTTTCTGGTTAATAGAGAGTATGTAGAAACTTCGCTCGTTGACGTCACAAAGAAAAACAAATGATAGCTAGGAGTTTTAAAATCAAGAGGAAGACAGATTATTAGGTTTCATAGGAAAAACTTACAGCTTCAGTGAAGTCCCTAGGTACATGATCAGTATTCAAAAAACTATAAATAATTATTTTTTTAAGAGGCACAATTTTTAATAACAAGAACAGTAGAGACATATAGGAATAAATCAACTAAAGGATATGCAAGACTTCTATGGAGGAAATATTTTGACTATTCCATCTTTACTAGGTATGTTTATCATAATACTTTTCCCTTTTCCTTTTGTAAAGACAGAGTCTTGCTCTGTCACCCAGGCTGGAGTGCAATGGTGCAATCGTGACTCACTGCAGCCTTGAGCTCCTAGGCTCAAGCAATCCTCCTGCCTCAGCTTCTTGGGTAGTTGGGACTACAGGTGTGTGCCACCATGGCCAGCTAATTTTGTTTTTTTAAAAGAGTTGGGGTCTCGCTATGTTGCCCAGACTGGTCTTGAACTCTTGGCCTCAAGCAGTTGTCCTACCTCAGCCTTGTAAAGTGTTGGGATTGCAGGCATGAGCCACTGTGCCCAGCCCCTCCTTTCTTTTTCTGTTTGTTGCAAGAGCATCTGTTCCTCTCACTGAGAAATACATTTCTAGACTAAGCCAGACCATCAAAAAAATGGCATAGGTACTTAGACAAAATTGTGTAAAACTTTGTAGAACTGATATTACGGAATTGCTTTTACTATAATTCTTTTGGCATTATTTGATTTTATAAGAAAAAGGTTTATGGAAATTCTCTGTGTTTATTTTAAGTATTGAAAATGTTGATTATATCTTGTTAAATAACATGAGTTGATTAGAAAAAATTCTTTTTGGCTGGGCGCGGCGGCTCATGCCAGTAATCCCAACACTTTGGGAGGCTGAGGTGGGCAGATCACGAGGTCAGGGGTGACTAGTACTTGAGATCAGCCTGGCCAATATGGTGAAACCCCATCTTCACTAAAAATACAAAAAATTAGCAGGGTGTGATGGCACACCCCTGTAGTCCCAGCTACTCAAGAGGCTGAGGCAGGAGAATCACTTGAACCCAGGAGGCAGAGGTTGCAGTAAGCTGAGATTGTGCCACTGTACTCCAACCAAGGCGACAGAGTGAGACTCCATCTCAAAAAAACAAAAGAAAAAATTCTTTTTAATTTTAATATCAGGGCTATTTCTCTTGAACATGTTGTTTTTTACCTCATGAATGTTGAACATTTAAATTGTGTCTTTGGGTTAGAATTAGTTACTTGAAAACTTAGAATCTAGTTTCTTGTGTACTTCAATTTAGAATTTAGGATTTAGAATTTAGAATTTAGAATAGGTTATTCTTTTTATGCACTTATCTCATACCTGGCTTCATGTTTTCTTTACAGTTTTAGTTTCCCTTTGTCTCATTTTCTTTATTTTAAATTTACTTGCTATAGTGTACACTTCTTTGGACTTATTTAAGTCCTATTTTTAGGGATAGGGTGAAGCAAAACATGTAAATAAGCATCCAGACAAATAAGCAGTATTTACAAGTCAAGGAGTACTTAAAATCATTAGTTGGCCAATGAGAAGGCAACTCTAATTGTTTCAAGGGCACATGATTTGGGACCAATGCCCACAGTTAATCTTTTCTTCCTGGGCAAATCATTTGAGACTGATGCCCACAGTTAAACTTAATCTTTTCTTCCTGGCTGCTCTGGAAAAAATGCTAGACTTAGAGCTTTTCTTTGGTAATATAAATATCTCTGCACTCAAGAAATATTTCTAATTAGTCATCCATCCATTGTCCTTTTAAATAATTCACTGGGTGCTTGCAACGTTGACAATTCCATCCATTCTTTGCAAATATTCTCACAAAGGCATTTTCCAATATTGATGAAAGATCCATTGTGTGCTGAAGAATGTGAAGTCTCACCAGCTTTAATATGAATATAAGCCCGAAGATATTGGTTTGTTATTACTGCTCCTGTAATTCCTCTCTTGATTCCAGAGGTATTGGATACTGTTGATTAAAATATTTATGTTTTTTCAAAAGTTTCAACAAAGCATTATAACAAATAGAAGCTGGAGGGAGAACAATATTCTTTCCCCTCATACAATCGCTGTTATACTTGCTTTTAATCTTTTATGTGTGTATTGTACTGTTGTTTTTGATTATAATTTTTATGCGCTTTTATGAGAAACCTAAATATTTGAATATACATGGAAAACTTTATTCACTTACTGAAGCAACATGTATTTATTAATTATTGGGGACATACTGTGTCAGGCATTGAAGTTTAGATATAGCCTCCATTTACATAGTGTTCAGATATTCAGAATGTTCAGCACATGGAATTTTTGTCAATATTTTACTTCTTTAGATATGTTTTTAAAAGAATGCCTCAGGCTGGGGACAGTGGCTTGTGCCTGTAATCCCAGCCACTCAGCAGACTGAAGTAGGAGGATTACGTGAGCTCAGGGGCTGGAGGTTACAGTGAGGTATGATTGTGCCACTACACTCTAGTCTGGGCAACAGAGGGAGA